GGGAGCGCCAGGAGGGTCAAATCTGACTGACATGAGCGCTATACAAGAACCCACTATTATTATTATTATTATTATTATTTTAAACAGAACTGGCCAGGGCTCCAAAATAAGCGAAGGTGTATGCCTTGTGAGCACTTACAATTAATTTCATGTACAAGGAAAGTACATACATCAGGGGATTCCTGGTGATGCAAATGTATATAGAAGAGAAGAATGAAAGGTACAGGCTGAACAGAGAGAGAAAGAGAGAGAGAGAAAGAGAGAGAGAGAGAGAGAGAGAAAGAAGGAGAGAATAAGAGAAAGAGAGAGAGAGAGAGAAAGAAGGAGAGAACAAGAGAACGAGAGAGAGAGAGAGAGAGAGAGAGAGGGGGGGGGAGGAAAGATAAAGAGGAAGGGGGATGAAGTGAGATGGAGTTACAGTCGATTGCGCACTGCACATGTCGTTTTTTGTTTTGATTGTTGACAAAACTGCGCATGAGCATTCTGTGTAAAAAAAAATAACTAGCACTGGAAAACAAGGTTCTTGAGAATGTTTATAAGTCCCCTATAATGATTTTGAAACCGAGAAAAATGTGACCTATGTGAAATTTGGAGAAAAAATAGAGTACCAAATCATAAGCTGAGGAGACGTCGCAAAAATTTGCAGGGAGTGCCTTTGACCTTCACAAAATGTCAACTCCCATAGGTTCACGTGCAAAGACAAGATGATTATTCTTACCCTAGAATCTCTTTGAATTGATTTACATGTAATTCTAAGACATGGGCAAACATATGAGAGGCTCATAAATTTGCAGGAAAGTGCATTATATTTGCCTTCCCAACCCCTTCACAAGGCGATTGGCTTCTTGATTAAACTGTGCATGGCGACATGCGCATTCGGGGGAAAAGAGACAACTCCTCATCTCTCATATAGATTAACACGGGAAAACAAGGTTCTTGAAAACGGTTTTAATTCCCCTGGTATGACTTTGAAATCGGGTAAAATGAGACTCATATGACATTTGGGGACATGGAATACCATAACATAAACTCGAAAAGCTGAAAAACCTTGCATAAATTTGAAAAAAATATGCATGGGTGCTTTTGACTTTCGGAACAATCTGAACTCCCACGGAAGATGAAATGCGGCCGCATGCACTTATTGATTCAAAGCATCGATGCAAATATTAAATCGCGCGTGAAAATATGGAAAAGTCACAACAACAAGGAAATAGCCAGCACATAACTCTGGATACTCGAATATCTGCACTATCGGGATCTTCTTCAATTAATCCTAACAAGATGAAGGAACCTGATGAATTTAGAATGATTGGTTTGCTTCTGTTTATGCATGTGATAGCATCTGTATATGCAGTTGGTGAGTTACAACTAATATTTTGGGATGGTAAAATACGGTACAAAGCTTTAAGCATTAGTAAAGGGTTTGCCTACATGTATAATTGTTTTGTGTGAATGTACACTGCTAGTAATTTCCTCATATTTTGTTGCAACGTATACCCGGGATATCAGATCAATGTTTAGTACAGTCTTATGGTTTTGTTCTCCCTTTTTATTTAGAAAATCACGTGTTGTTCCTTTGTGTTGTTCTTTATCTGTTTTTTTATATAAGAAGTTTTGCTTATAGTGCATGATGGTACCAGTAAGGCCAGCTGCAAAAAAACAACATCTCTCAGGTTATATTCATTATTTATTCGTAGCAACCAAAGGGTTGGATTGATATAATACATACATTTTCAACATGGTTATGAACATTATTCAATTGAGTACAATCAAATTGGTAAATTATTATTATAAATACATGTAGATCATTAATACAAAGAACATTACAAGTAAATAATTACAAGGAAAAGGGAAACATAAACTTGAATAGAGAAGAAAGGGGAGCAAGAGAGGGGAAAAGAAAAGAAAGTAAATAATTGAAAAAGCTGCAATGATCAATCAAATAAACTCTGGTATCCAAATATAAAAATAGATAACATAGTTATATAGAACGTCAAGGTATAAACTGAAAACTACATGTACTGACAAATTATTCCAAATTGATGCTCTGAAGCAAAAATAATATATAATTAAAAACCAGCTGCATGTGTCGGGGAACATGTTCAAAAGAATAACGAATGGTTGAAAATGTATTGCACTAATCACCTGCTTTACCAAGGGATAACACTATTCTTAAATCGGTTTGTTTAACACCTGGGCATACTCACTTGTTTGCTTCTCCTAAGGTTATATTTTGTCTCTCGTTTTGGTGGGAGAAGGGCATTTAGTTTGGGTTCTGGTGTCTGTATTTGCAAGCTTTGTAGTACCTACACAAATCGTCTTGAACAAGACTGGATCTACGTAATTAGACCAAGAGAAACAAACGACTTTCAGTCTTTGCATAAACCTTTTCCACATGAGTATTCCAATTCAAGTTATCATTGATCCATAATCCTAGCAACTTTATTTCTTGGACACAGTCTACAGGTTCGCCATCAATTGTAAGTGGATGAACAACCGCATCTTTAGTAAAATTTATAACCATTTCGTTTGTTTTCTTTGGGTTCATCAATGACCAATGACCTAAGGTTATACTTTGTCTCTCGTTTTGGTGGGAGAAGGGCATTTAGTTTGGGTTCTGGTGTCTGTATTTGCAAGCTTTGTAGTACCTACACAAATCGTCTTGAACAAGACTGGATCTACGTAATTGGACCAAGAGAAACAAACGACTTTCAGTCTTTGCATAAACCTTTTCCACATGAGTATTCCAATTCAAGTTATCATTGATCCATAATCCTAGCAACTTTATTTCTTGGACACAGTCTACAGGTTCGCCATCAATGGTAAGTGGATGAACAACCGCATCTTTAGTAAAATTTATTACCATTTCGTTTGTTTTCTTTGGGTTGATCTGCGTACCAATGATCTTTGACTATGTAAGTAATTCGTCTAATGCTCGTTGCAAGGAGCACTGGGATTCTATCTTACATATATAGGGAATATTGCGGTTTTCATGAACATGATAAGGCCCATTGACTCTTGTGTTCGAAACATCGTAGACTTCTGTGTATTACTATAGAGACGGCCCTGTTGGGATACTCACATAGCAGCATGATTGGCATGTTTAATCTTACATGCTTCAGATATCATTGTACCTTTACATCATGTTGTACATGACTAAATAGTTTTCGACCATTTCATTTTCAAAAGGATCAGACGTACACACCTTGATCGGGCATCTGCCTGACTATTTCTCATTTCTCCACCGCCCTTATTTCCTCTTTGTCTCTCTCCGTCCACCCTTCTTCTTTCCCCTTCTCTTTATTACACACATTTCAATGCTTATGAAAAGAGGCATTTAATTAAAAACAGTTCTGGTAATATCATAAATCAGAGCACACATGACATACACTGAGGTCCGAATCCACGAAGAAGGTCTAACCTAAATTGTGGTCTCCCAATATATATATTTTTTAAAGTAAGGAAAAGAAAGTACAGCTAAGAAAATCGAACCGTTGTTTTTTCCAGTCTTAATCTCAGTGAATATGATTTCATGTCATTTATTCGAGGGTTTGTTAAAATCGTGTGCCTTTTAGAGCAACCAAACACGTTATGCTATGTGGTGTAGATCTTACTCGGTTCTTGCATGCAAGCCCACATGTGATCTTGTTGAAAGTTTATAGAGAACTGGTATTAAGGACTTTTCGATTTGCACGACGAGAACGTGGACTGCAACTGCCAGTGCCTTCAAATGACGTCACACGTGACTGCCAGTGCCTTAAAAGGAAGTCACACGTCCACGTCCACGCAAATCGAAAAGTCCCTAGTGTTCGAATGCCTACAAAACCTTATTCTTAACAACATTAGGGCCCTATTTCATGAAACTTGTTATCAATGATAAATGCCAAAATCCTATGACAAATAACCTGTTAGCCAATCAGATGCAACGATTTTCAGTAGCTTTTAACAGTTATTGATAACTGTTGTACTGGAACAGGGCCTTTAGCAGCAATGCGGAATATTTCACAAAAGCGGTTTGTGCTCCACTGTGCAAAGTACATAGATCAAGTCAAAATATTTACTCGACCCGCCGATTAACCCTCGATGAGTCATTTGAAAATGACAACAACAAATGACAACAAGTGATGCAAGCGGAGAGCCAAAATAAGAAAAGAGGCGTTTACCTGCCACTAGGACACAAACTAAACACACCTTGTTTTTTTTCGAAAGATACACGATATTTCAGAGATTTTTTTTTGTAGCGGTCACCCCCTAAATCGGAGGGGGCGTAACCAAAAAAGCGGCCCTTTTGACGAAAAAAAGTATTTTGTAAATAATGTTTTGAATCCCCATGAGTTTGATAATTGTGAAAGAAATTTAAATCAACTTCATTTTGAAACCAATTTCAACGGAATTGTGATCAATAAACATCTGAAGTTTGAGTAAGAAACATGATTTAGTTTTGTTCTTTCAAAAAACACATTTCTTTGAAAAGCTCCGAAAATATATGAACATTGCTTGACATGGAAAAAACCCTGTATTATTAAGATTATTTAAATGGTAACGATAATAGGCCTATGCCCATTATGCACGGGGTGCTCGTTGCTGCGTTGGTTATGGTTACGTTAGAGGCTATATTTAGAAACACGCCTCTACGACTGATTACGTGTATATGCGTACCTGATGTCCCCCTGTGTCGCCAGGCATGGGAAACAAGGGCATACTGGTTACAACTTAAGCTAATTACAAAACAACTCATGCAAATTGCATTGAACTTTTAATGTATATCATTCTTCTTTATTTCGAATAAACACCGCCTTTGTCGTATTAGTCCGATAATGCATAACTGACTATACGACGTTAAGCCGGACAGTGACCCTAATGGATACTATCCAGTCACACGGCCAAAACGATACCAGACCGACCGATTATTGGCCTTTTGAGGCATTGCAATTTCTTGTTCCGTCCATCGTTTGTTTGACTGCGGTATTTAAAGAGGTAATCATTTGATACACATGTTAATGAATATTGTTTAATATTAACAGAACCTCTGAGGACCCGTTTGCGTGGTGGAAGTGGATCATTTGAAGGAACAGTTGAGGTTTACTACCAAGAAGCATACGGTACAGTGTGCGGCGATGACTGGGATTTGGATGACGCCCACGTCGTTTGTCACACACTGGGATATCCACGTGCTTCTGCTTATTACACCAGCGCAAACTTTGGCGAAGGCACAGGGGAAATTATCCTGGATAATGTGAATTGCACGGGATCTGAGTCAAACATCGCCTTCTGTCAACACAACGGTTACCTATCTCACAACTGTGAGCATCGTCAAGATGCAGGAGTCACGTGTGAAGGCATTGGTAATTATATTTTTTCTTTAAGTTCCTGGGGAGGGGGGGGGGTAGTAATTACTCTGAATGAAATAATTCATTCTATATACCGCACATGAACATTTTAGGTCTATGATTGGTCAAAACTGCAGGATGGATAATTCACCATTAAAGGCTGGGCAGTAATAGTATAGATATATTGACTTCTATGAAAATAAACAAATATACCATGCACTAAGAGGCTCTAGTTGAAATTATGGATCGAGGTGGCAGGAATAGCACTATTTTCTGAGGGGCGTAGTCCCGAAGAAACTGGTGGTATTTCTGTCGCCGAGGAATCCATAATTTCACAAGTGGCTTGAAATAATGCATGATATATTTGTTTTATATTTTTCAAACCAACCTTCAAAAAATAATAATGATAGTAATAATGTTTACTGTCACTGAAGTAGTGAAGAGTGCAGTGAGAGCAGCGCAGACGCGCGACCGCGACCGATAGCACATTGATCTTGATCGATCGTATATATATGACGTCATCCATGGTACAGTGCTATCGTATAATGCACTATACAATGGATGACGTCACGGTTACATCATAGCAATGTTATGTTCGGTCACGTGATGCCATGTTGACCAATAACTTGACAGGATTTCATTGATCAAAAATATAATAACAGTTGCTTCTATAGGCTCAAGGGATCATATCAGGATATAACATCCCCGAGAGCCTATCGAAACAACTATGCCTCGAAGCAGTCAATATATCTTTAATATACCGTAAAAGAGCCAAAGAATACAATTTGCGACTCGCTTATATACCAATCATGGGTTCTCACATTTACAAAATTATCATCAAACAGTGCTCCAGTAGAACAGGGAAAGCAGAACTGTGCTCGTATTTTTTTGCGGCAAAAAACACGACTTCACCTTCATCCAATCAGATGACAGGATTAGGAAAGATTCTTAAAGTAAGGTATATAATATAGATATATTGACTGCTATGAGAGGCATAGTTGTTTATGTAGGCTCAAGGGGACGTTACATCCTGCTATGAACCCGAGGCGTCTTTAATATTTACTGGGCAAAGCTCTACATGCGCGTATTAAGCAATACAAGGACGCAATGGTTCCTCGTGAAGTTAGCAATGGGTACGGGCACAGTCCCACAGATTCATATGCAAATACATTTTGGTAGGCATATGCTGTTAACATATATATATATTTAGCATTGACACGCGGGATGTAGTATATAAGACTGCCATCTGCAACTTGAGTCACGGTATATTTTTGAGATCACCTTCGGCAATAGTTTTACCCGCAGTCGATGTGTAGACAATGCAAAATGTAATTAAAGGGGCACGTTCCCGCCAGTGTAGTTATCGGAACATGCCATCTGCGTAAGAGCCGTATTCTGTTGGTGTCAATAGGCAGCTATAGCACTGTCCGCCAGCGCGTACGTATTTTGAACGCCCTCTGGAATACAGGGGAACATGCCCCTTTAAAAGCAGAAAGGGTCAAAAATAGGTTTCAAAAATTGTCTAGAGCACATATCAGGCTTCTTCTCATCCCACAATTATAATAATAAAATTGGGTTCTTGTATAGCGCTCATATCCGTCAGACTTGACACTCAAGGCGCTTCAGATTATTACCCTGGCTTTAGCACGGCTGCTATTAAGGCGCTCTATAGCTCTAGCAAATATATATTTCAGATCATTTCGTTTATTTCCATTTCCAACAAACTAAACTAAAATACATATGGTTGCATTGTAAATAGTAAAACAATTAAACTTAACAATATAACTTTAATTGTTCCGCAGTGTACAACAGACACATTAAACAAGTTGGTCATGGTGTCATGGAGGGGACTGTTGAAAAGCTGTGATTGTAGAGATTGCATTACCCTATAACTTATAGTTGCAAAAATAGTATATCAATAATAGGGAAACGCCCAAACACGTAAACCGGATTGATATAACATAAACAGAATTGAAAAGGACAGGGAAAGAAGGGAGACAAGGAACGAGAGAGTACATGTAGGCACATCCTTCTGGAGCTGTGTTCAGTACTATGGAATTAGCCTTGTAGGCTGTAGCAACATAACTGTGCAACTGATAACTGTGCAATTTAAAAACAATCATGGTTTAGTGGACACGTGTTAAAAACGGAAAGGTTTAGACACCGGAGGTATGCGCGTAACCAGTAACAAATCTTTGGTTAAAGGGACAGTTGAGTTCTTGGTTAAGACCGCAAATGCCTTCAAAGTGCAATGTTATTGCTCTTATTTTTATTTATGACATTTCTAGTGCCCATTAATGATCTTTAAATTGCTATGAAGGTAATTTTACACCCCAAGATGTGTGAAATTTAGATTGAATCCGATCATACCAAATTAGCTCCACTTCAAAAAAAATACGGTGACCGTTAATTAATTAATTAATAATAACAATACACGGGCCGGCTGGTTGTGCATACTACAACCAACACGAAAAAGCCAACCGTAATATGCCATTATTGGCATTGGCTGCAAAACTATCAAAAACTTGTAGGGGACCCAAAACATTAGAAATGGTTATATTTATGGATCTTTCAGCCGTCTCTGAACTAGTCTAGTTTTGAACTCTATATTGATTTTTGTTATTCGCCGACTATAAACGTTAAGCCGAGTGATGGCGCGATCCTTAGTCGTTTATAGTCGGCGAATAACAAAAATCAATATAGGGTCCAGAACTAGACTATCTCTGAACCGATTTTGATCCAACAAAGACGATTTGTCATTTAAATTGTATGCTCTTTGAAATTTGATACTCAGTTTTACATTATCTCACAAAAATAGGTAATGGTAGCCCATTTATTTCTTTACAATGCTCCCCTATTCCTTTTCGAATTGCTTTTCTTTTTCTTTTTCTTTTTCCTTTAAAAGTTGACGCCATTTTGAGAGACGGGAGCAGCAGCAGAGAAGGTCGGGTCGAGGTCTACTATCAAGGATCATGGGGTACCGTTTGCGACGATGGCTTTGGTATGACTGATGCGCATGTAGTTTGTAGAATGATAGGTTATACCTTCGCGGAATCCTTTTCGTGCTGTGCGGCATTCGGCCCAGGAACTGGTGACATTCTCCTGGATAATCTCCAATGTACGGGAGAGGAAGTGACGATTGGACATTGTATGCAGAATCCATTTGCAACACGCATCTGTGGACACAGTAAAGACGTAGGAGTAACGTGCATTAAACGTAAGAATAACAATGATAATAATATTACAAGAACTTAAAGGAATTAATTCCTGCCAGATACCCATTTACTTCACATGGGTCGAGTGCGGCAAATCAATGAAGATTAATGACTTGCAGAGGACATTAGTTCCATGACAGCAACACGCCGACACTCCCTTCAAGTATCAACTGTCAGGAGGACGGTGTAAAACCAAAGCTAACTCTGTTCTCGCCTTATTTCCAATTTAGATAATAGGGCCTTTATTCCTACAAGTAAACTGATTCTAGTTGAATTCATGGATTTCACGTGTTAAACCCCACCGAATAAATAGATCCCATCAAATTGTTTTTCAGTTTCAGTTTTCAGCTTTATCTGTCATTTCCAACAGAACAGTACATTTGATAGGAAATAAGATATACAATACAACATTCAATAATATAATACATTTTACATGGTTTAAAGTTGTGAAATAGAATGTATTCATAAGTATCCAGTATAATGTTTTTTTTTAAGTTAAACAAAAAAGAGTAAACCTGTGGAAATGGAGGGATCCACTGAAAAGCAGAGCTTGTAAAACGTGGATCATTAAAATAATGACAAACATAATTTCTGTAACATGTAAATATATTGACTTGAACAAAATACATAGATAAAATTGTATCCTTTTGAGAGTTACCAAAATCGGAGACGCTATACCATGGTAATTTTGATTTTGATTTTGTTTTTATAAATTGAATTTAATTATTTTCTTCTGCAAAACATACAAATCAAATTACATTTCAACGATACAACATGTACAAACTTAAATAATTTTGTTGAACGTATACACAACATAATAGTATTAGAAATGTTGACATTGAAGCAAAATGTAAATGGTAAAACACTATCAGTCTATTAGACCCTTGTTACAGTGAGTAAAAGGCCTGGCCCGGCCTTTTGCTCACTGTAACAGGGGTCTAAGTCAGTTATATATATACAGAAGAAGAAGGGCTATCACAATAAGTGTTTGCTTGATAGCATGACAGCCTGGGACGGGATAATGGTGAAGAAGGGATGGACATCGAAAGAAGTAGTAGTAGTAGTCATTCTATGCAGACCGAATTTATTTTATTTTCCACATAATGTATTTAATGACAAGATAATAACAATAATAAACGTTATGATATAACAGAAAAAATTAGCATTGAAATATTTTTGATTTTTTTTAAAGGCTTGTAATGCAAAATAATTTAGTTACAGATATGGAAAACGAATTTATTTGGAAGCAATGCTTGCTAGGTGTAGCTTCGCACAATAATACATTAAACTTAATACATTAATAACTGAATCTTGGAAGATTACGGAGTCAAATAAACATGACGGACACAAAAACGAAACAAAAACAAATACGTCAAACACAGGTGTAATACCTGTTAGCGAAGGTGAACATCGTCGTTACATATGATGCATTTTTCTACATTATACACTAAATATGACCAATTTTTGTGTGAGAACAGGTACAGTATGGTTTCGGAATACGCACCTTATTTTGGGATTATCGAGTAGACGAGTACCCTAATTTTCGAAAAGAGCAGGTATATACATGTACACTTTCAAAATGATCGTTAATATCATGAACATGACCCCTTTCGTTAAATGTCTTCCTTTTGTGTGAGGAAACTAATAGAAAGTTGTCCCAAACTACGTCACAGTGACATTACCGATTCAACTAATATGAAGTGCCTATACGTGATCAAAACTTGAACCTAAATATAATTTGCTTGTTTGTCCGATTTCATTAGAATATTCTCCTCTTTGTTTTTCTAATGTTTCTGCTTTCTTTAGAAGTACTAGTCTGCCAAGATTTTATCTCTCTTTTTAATTTGGTGTATTTCTAAACCAATTTCTTTTCAATCTGGCATACATTCAGACCACATATACAACATTATTTCATTTGTATCAGTTCCCGTGCGTCTTGTTGACGGAGCTTCAGCCAATGAAGGGCGAGTCGAGGTGAACTACCAAGGATCATGGGGTACAATCTGTAATGACTCCTGGGATATCAAAGATGCTACCGTTGTTTGTCGAATGCTGGGTTATACTGGAGTCTCTTCTGCAATGGTGCGCTTCGGAGAAGCCACAGGTGATATCATCCTCGACAACGTCGGATGTTACGGGTCAGAAACGCACATCGCACAATGCACACATGGCGGCTACGAGATCCATAACTGCGATCATTCTGAAGACGTTGGTGTTATATGCAGCGGAGAAGGTAAAGTTGCAATTTCCGAAAATGTAATACTATCACTCAAAAAAAAAAAAATTAAAGCAAAGAAGTGCATTTCAATATATTCCCTGTATTAAAGGCGGCCTATCCTAAAACAAATATACTAATGAATCATGTTATTGTACTTCAAAGCACGAAATTAATCATGTTCCTCTCAGAAGGTTTTATTTCACGTGTTATTATTGGTTCTAGGACACCTACCCCCTGGACATCCACCCCCCCCCCCCCGATAACCACCCCAGTCAACTACCCCCTAAGAAAAGTATCCCCTAGGGCAACCACTCTCTAGGACGAATACCCCCGGGCAACTACCCCCCGAACAACTACCCCCAGACAACTACCCACTACGACAACCATCCTCTAGGACACCTACCCCCGGTAGAACTATATAAGGGGGTAGTTGTCTCGGGTGTCGTTCGACAGAGAAAGAGTACAACTACGACAAAGAATTATACCACTAAGCCTGGAAAATGTTCTGTCTTCAAAGAATCAACGAACTATATTAAGATATATACGACAAACAAAGAAATATGATATCCTTAACCCCCCCCCCCCCATCTATCTATCTACCCTCCCTTTTTGTGTGTTGTTTTTGTTATTGCTTTTGTGTACTATAAACGTATTATGTAAAGTCACTGTCTATCCGTCGATATGTCCAGTGCATGCTTCTGTTCTATTTGTTTTTGTTTTGATTTTAAAAAAAATGTTTCAAAAGTTTCTTTGCTCATTCCTGACAGAACGACATAGGCCAAAACATGGAAACTCAAGTGACGTCATGCTTAGAAGTACACTGTGTATCTGAGTGGCCTAGATCCGCAGGATTGATAAGCTCGCTCAATGACTAGACTAGGCGTAAATAGTCAAATCTGACTGAGCGCCAACAACAACGGGTGTAGTTGTCCTGGGGGAGGGGGGGGGGTGGGGGATGGGGTACTCGTCCTAGAAAGTGGTTGCCCTAGGGGGTAGTTGTCCTAGGGGGACGTTGACTGGGGTGGTTATCCGGGGGTGGATGTCCAGGGGGTAGGTGTCCGGATATGGTTATTATTACTTGATATCATCATCCAAATATTATGGCTCACTTTATGTTCTGTCAGTGGCCGTTTTCGTACATAGCCAGCCGCAAAAGAGGATTATTTGACGAAAAATCAATGCTTTTATAAAGCCCAGATAATTTCGTAAACATCAACAAATTAGTTAACAGTTAGTTACTTGTAGAAAACCAAGATAAAACACTTGTCAAAAGAAGGCAACTGCACCAATTATACAATAAACTCCCAGTTTGTAATATCTCGTTGGTTTGATACAGATTTTATGTAGTGCAGCTAGGCTATTATAACAAAAATGCCAGAAATAAAGAAAAAGGTGTTCTGGCCCATATGCAAAGACTACACAGTTTATGCATACAACTCGAATGAAAGAAGACACTTATGCTGACCTACACGTCGCCGACTGACGGCGTGGAAGACTTTGCTATATATTCTACAGACCCGATCCATGTTATGCCTCTGTCGCATATACACTCCGGGGCCCGTACGGCGAGTAAAACAGACATTTTGGGAATTTCCGGCCGGTGTCCGGCCGGCGGCCGTCAAGTTCCTACGGGCGCCGTGACAGTTTTCTAAGCCGTACGGGCGCCGTGGTGCTGAGTCGGCTGCTCCCAATTCTCCCGGCGTTTTTATCTGACCGTTAGCCCGTAGAAAGCCCGTAAAGGGCCCGTGGGGCACCTTACGGGTCCCGTGCGGGCTCCGGACGGTGCCCGGACGGGCCCCTCACGATTTTGGGGGTCAATTTTCATGAAAAATCTTAACGGGCGCCTTGCGGTGCTCAAGGGTTCCGTACGTGTACCCTACGGCGCCCTCACGGGCCCCTCAAGAGACCCGGGTGATATGCACAACAATAGGCGTCTGCCGTCCGGGGGCCATTTAAAATGAATATTGCCCGTGCGGGTCCCTCACGGCGGCATCTCGAAATGTACAACGCAGTTTTAAATACAGGAGATGCGGATACCAGAGGACACCTACAGAGTGAGTCGGAAAAAATGTTCCACTTTTTAAAAGTTGTATTGTTTGAAGTATGAATATTTAATCATGAGTTTCATGATATGTCTTGATAGATTTATCCTCCCAGTACATTTAGGTACCATTTTCATTCGAATCTCTGCATGCATGACTGAACATCAGACAATCTTTACAAGACTGCTAGATCGATCTCACTTAATTGAGCCAAGTTGCTGGGTGAGGAATAAAATAATGTTTTGAACAAAGACAGCCAGTTTTTTTCAATTATCCAATTAGCCAGACAGACAAAAATACACAAACACACGCACACGCACACACACAAACACACACACACACGCACACACACGTACGCACACACAACACACACGGTGACAATTGTTTCATACTTACCCCTTTTGTGATTGAGCATTGATTTTTTATCAAGATCACTGAATGTTTAAGTGGCATAACCATAAAAATCTTTCCCTTTTGTACACATTCACTACCACCATCATGTCATCATCATCATCATTGCCATCATCTTAATCTTCATCATCATCATTATCATCATCATCATCATCATCATCATCATCATGAAGCACAACATCCGCCAATACGCACCAAGAGGACAGCGGCCACTCAACTTATCGTACGATAACAAGAATTCCCGACAAAAAGTAACAGTTTGGGTGGGCCTTGTCGGGAATGGAATGCTCATTTATGTGCGTGTGTGTGTGTGTGTGTATGTGTATGTGTATGTGCGTGTGCGTGTGTGTGTGGGTGCATGTGCGTGTACGCGTGTCTGACTGCCTTTGTTCAATGCACTGTTTTATTCCTCACCCAGTAACTTGGCGCAAGTGAGGTCTGGCAGTCATGAAAGATTGTCTGATATTCAATTTCAATTCAATTTCAATTTAGTATTGTCCATTTCTGGATATTTTATTCAGTGATGCATGCAGAGATTCAAACGAAAATGGTACCTAAATGTATTAGGAGGATCATGCTCTATCAAGATATATCATGAAACCCATGATTAAATATTCATACTTCAAACAATACAACTTTTAAAAAGTGGGACAATTTTTCTGACTCGCTCTGTAGTTCAGTACACCGCACGGCACCCGGCCGGGCGCCTTGAGGACCCTGGCCGGGCCCCGGCAGGGGACCTTCCGGGACCCATCGGTACACCTGGTCATCGGACGGAGCCCGTAAGGTTACCGGTCGGCACTCGGTCGGCACCCTGCCGGCACCCTTACGGGCGCCTTGCATTTCACTCGACCAATTTTCTCCGGGCACCTCCCGGGCGCCGCAGAATATGTGACCACACATGCCGTAGAAATGAAAATCGGACGGTTCCCGTACGGTCTCTAAATCCACGGCAAGCCGCCGGGTAGGGAGAATCGTACGGGGCCCGGTTTATATGTGACTTAGGCATTAGTAGGGCGTGCGATCTGCCATTTTGAAGACAAGAAAAATTTGGCAAACTGTTGTTTCAAGCCATATCTGTAACATGGCTTGGTTTAATTTAATTTTTCTATTTTTTAATAATAATAATATTGTTTAACAAGTTGAAATTCATTTTGTAATTTCTACTTGTAGCTGAACTCAAGGTTCGCCTCGTAGAAGGTCCGGATGAGAGCCAAGGTCGTGTTGAGTTGTTCTACTTCGGATCATGGGGTACTGTCTGCCAATACAACTGGACCCCATTGGACTCGGAAGTGGTCTGCAGAATGTTAGGATTCGTCGGGGCTATAGCATATTCAACCTCCTCATCATACGGACGTGGGACAGGGGAAGTGATACTATATCGTCCGAGATGCTCTGGAAAAGAATCGAGTCTTCTTGAGTGTGATCCATTTTATGATCTGGGTATCACTTATTTGTTTTGCAGTGGACATGCAACAGATCTCGGAGTTTCATGCTTAAAACCGGGTAAGAATTAAACCATATTAAAAAGTCAAGAATTTCGCGAGGATGTCTCATGGTATGCCATCTTGTTATTGGTGGCGTATGTGAAAGGGAACAAGGGGTCACATGCCACCCTTACATGTATGTATGGCGAACTAAGGGTAAAAATGTTCGTGCTCAAGTAGGGAAAGCAACATACAAAAGAAGGAAACAAAGAAGAAGAAAAGCATGAAAGGACCCATTCCCCTACGCTACAACAACGGCCCTCTCCCATGGCGTTTAATTCACCGGTGACCGGTGTTCACACCATCCCATGACTTAATGGCGGGATCGATGCGTTATTTCCAAGCATTAATATTATGCCAAGAAAGCTTTACGATCTTCAATATATGGAAGTCGAGTTTTAAGCATGTGCTTCGGTGCAGCGCAAGTCCCAGTCAATTTAAGCACTCCGTCACTAGGAGCTTTTGTGACTCACAAAGGTTCCAAGAGATGGATCCTAGTCTCAGTCCTGAGTTCTCGTTCGACCAAACACAACTTTGAAAGCAGCTCAGTAAAAATCAATGCGTGGAGGCATTGTGTTCAAAATGCTTGGGAAAAATCTTTTAAAGTCAACCTACGGTTAACGTAGATTTTTTTTGGGAAATAATACTGTGGGTCAGTTAGTTTCGAAATCTATGAAGAATGGGTCGTGTAAAGAAACGTTCCACATTGCAAACATATCAAGCAAATATATAAAGCGAATATTTACGAACAGCAGGTTGACTCTAGAAGATTTCCCCCCATTTCTACCACGCACTGAACGATGAGGGCACTATATGCACTGTGCGATATCCGCTGTGTTGTGAGCATTTACAGGCAGTACTCGGTTTCCCAACTTTAACAAAAAATGTTTTAGCCCTCCATAGGCTATTTTATCGAGTCAAAAAAAAATTGTTTACAATACAATGAAATGAAGCCTTTCTTTAACTTAAACGAAATCGAATACTTTAACATTTCTTTCCTTGTTGTTCACACAGTGATTGTTACTTAGTAAAAAAAAAAAAAAACGTTTTACATACCACCTTTAGAATAAATATATCTCTTGTCTTCATAATATTGAATAATCTTCAAAGAACTATATTTAGGAACTTTGTTTATTTAGCTTTTGTACGAATAGTTGCCACGTTCTTTTAAAGGCACACTGTCCTACTTGTAGCTACTTGATCCCTCTATATAGAAAACTTCCCAAATCGGTGGCTGTTGGTCCCCCATGATCCTCTTTTTCTTATGTTAAATGAGAGCTGAGTTAATGAGATAGCCACCTGTCACAGTGACCTCGCTGGCTCGCTGTGTGGTCTAATCCCTTCTAGCTGCAGTAGTAACGCCTACCTTTAAGGCACTAGCAGTGCCCGGCAGTGCCTTAAAAGGACGTCACATTGCGCTCACGTTTCCGTCTTGCAAATCTAAAAGTCCCTACTGCTGTCATTCGATTTCAGATGATTTCCGGGTGCGTTTGGTCGGCGGAAGATCTGACAAAGAAGGCCGTGTTGAGATTCTATACCTTGGTACTTGGGGGACAGTGTGTGATGACAACTGGGACCTAAATGATGCCAACGTGGTTTGCAGAATGCTCGGCTACGAACGGGCGGAGAACTTCTCCTGTTGCGCTGCCTTTGGACTAGGATCTGGGCCTATTGTTCTGGATGAAGTGGAATGCGAGGGTACAGAACCAAACATAGGCCATTGTCGAAGGAGTGATTACGAAACCCATGACTGTGATCACTCGGAGGATGTTGGTGTCTCATGCATCGAACATGGTAATTGTTCACTTTCGAACCTGCGTCCTCGGCTGAATCAATTTTAACTTCCACTCTTAAGGCCCGGTCACACAGAGGGGACGCATGGGGGACGCACGGCCAGCGCATTGGAAATTTACAATTTGGGCCAGTGCGTTGTCGTTCGCTAGGCGTGCATCATCATTCGTTACTCGTTCGTCGAGCGCGCTGGACCAACGCTGGACCAGCGCTATGCATTCGTCGTCATTCGCTGTGTGCGTCGGTTTTTTTTTAGCATGCTCAAAAGTGTGCGCCGAGCTCGACGCATGAATGTATGAGTTTTGCATCTAACTTTGCATTTAAAACGCTTTAAAGCGCGTGAAAACGTTTGCAAAATTATTTCCCCTGTTTAATGTGCATGTACAGTCAATGGAGTGGGAGTGAGATAACCAACCAAAAGACGAAGAAGTTCGGTGGCGCCTTGGTGTCGCTAGAGTACGCTAGGGCCTTGAATTAAAGGGTATCAAAACCTTCAAACTAATTTACTTATATATTACCTTACTTGCAATGCACGAGTTTTGTAGGTTTGCATTGCGAAACAGGTAGAAAAATGCACAAGTTTACGGAAGTGTATTGTAAGTAGTCCATATAAGGACTGAAAGAAAGGTCATAACGTTTTGAACAACATGCTCTTTGGAAACATTGAGATTCTTCTTTCAGAACTCTTGCCAAAGATCCGAATATGTTTTTTTGAACATACTTATGTTTTTTTTAACATACTATGTCCCTTTTGCAGCCAACATCAAATTATGTAGCACTTTGCAGGAATTATGAATATGTCATATATGTCCTATCTGTGAAATTTAAACATTAGGCCGTAAGAAAGCCACCGCAATATACAGATTTTTACCTACAATTTAATTCAAGTTCGGTTCACCTGTGCTTCGCGTACTGAAGGGTCATTGGATAGGTTGTTGTACTGGAAACTATTGCACGCTCTTTTAATGAAAACAAAGTTAGTCTAGTCACATTTGCTCTACGGTTGGGACACGGCGGCCGTAGGCTCCCGAAATCGAAAGATACCTGCGACGGCCGCAGAGAATCTGCTGTAGCCACAGGGTCACCCTAGGGAGTATCCCTATTTTTTTCACAGGCCGTAGGGGTCGCCGTGGGATTATAGCGCGGAGTTATACATTTTTGTTATTTCCAGGTTCCAGGCTTTTCTTTTCCAGGTTCATTCCCAGGTTCGCAATAAGACCATTAGACCTTGCGTCTGCCTTGGTATTTGTCAAAAACCTACTGCCGCCACAGGGACGCCCTAAGACGACCGTGTGTCATCACTTCAAAGGCCGTACGGCAGCCTGTTCTTCATATTTTATTCCCTGCAATAATGACTGATTCAACCCGCTGAAGATGGCGTTATCAACGAAATCATATATACGGTCAACACTCACCAGCCCGCTTCTTATTTTTTCGTATCACAGCGAGCCCAGATTCCAGTATGAGCTCATTTTCATACATAACCAGCTACGAAAGCTTGCAAAGAGGTCACACAAAAATAGACTTTGATTATTTTCTGCTTTATTTACTATTTATAAAAGGAAAACAAAAATTGAGATCAAACCTTCAAGACAACTCCAAGGTTCTATTAATAATACGCTGTCCTGATGAGAAAATGATTTGTATAATTACTATCATCCTATTAACAACGATACCGGATTCCATGTGCGCATGCGCTGGTTTCCTTCGCGAGTGCCCATGCGCAGGTTTCCTTCGCGCGCTAAATCTGGTTTCGCTATAGGGTACGCAAAAGTGAGACGCCACCAGCCCAGCCAAGGCACTTAGCATTTTTTTCTCCGGGCCTCCTAATGTAATGATTACGCCATCTTCGGCTAGCAGCAAGTAGCAAGTTGGTGTGGTGGAGATCAAAATTAAATAGGACATATTGTAGACTACTCTAACATTTGCGACTACAACCATTTGTGAATAAGGTGACTTTGGGACTGCTGCGGCGGCCCTATAATTGATATTGGCCGTACATATTTTAGACCCCACGGCCGCGGCGGCAAATGAAGCACACGTAACCGCGTTTCACCAATCATTTGATAATGATGTGGGAGTGAGTTGTATAGTGATTAATTAATGATATACATGTAACTATAGGCCTAATTTATATTCATTTATTGAATTTACAGAAGTGGAACAGGAATCCTCTACAACCGTGACACCGAATGGCAGTGAAATGGGTCTATCCCAGCCTGCCAAATTTGGTAAGTTAAGTTGCAAGTTACTATTAGCCTTCAAAATGTTTACGTTATAGATTTGATCATTTTCTATTAAATTCTTCTAGGCTTAAGTGTGATATATTAAGCAAATATTAACAGACTACGAGGGTAATGGTACAACTATCATCGCCGAGGTGATCTCGGGGCTACTATCATCCCGAGCCATAAGGCGGGGGATGATGGTAGCCCCGAGATCACCGAGGCGATGATAGTTTGTATCCATTGCCCGAGTAAAGGAGGTTATTATTTGTTTTATATCCGACATCGGCAATGTCTATTTAAAGTGAATTTTACATAATTAAAAGATACAACTAGGTTTTCGATCGCGGTGTTCTGATTCTGCGGGTGCTCCCAAGCATCAATCATGATGATCGTTGAAGCCTAAAAAGGCTGAACAAAACGGGATCCAAAGGCAAAGTCAACAAAAATACTTACAATAATGTAAATCCATCATTCTCAGTAGTCTATAATCCAATATTATCCAAATGACAAATGTTTAGAAGCAAACAAAATGTCTAGATCTAGGCCCAGTCTATCTAGAGCTAGTAAAAAACTAAGACGCAAGGTCGCGCCGCCACAAAATGTTAAGTGGTTTTAATTTGTTTTGCTTTTGTCGCGCATGAATGATATGCATCGATTGCGCTTATTTCAACGCATTTGTTTCATGTTTACGCGATTTTAGGTTCAAAGCACAACATGCAGCATACATGTAATACAGTTGATGCGCGCGCATTTTACTTTTCAAACGCTTAAATTAAGCGTCGTTGACTTGTACTAGTTTAACACTGGCATTTCGCGTAACCTACTTTGCTAGGCTTATATGGGCAAATGGGGCAGCAGCAAAAAAATGCGTTACAAAAGTACTATCTCAGGTAGATAGTAATTTGGCACATATAGCTCACGGCCATGAAGTGATGGGAAACCTATCATTGATCATATGACCTCGTTTAGACCAATCAGATTGCAAGATTCTTAGTATGCGGGATATAATACCATTTCTCTTAGACAGAGTCATATTGTATAAATCAGTAACACGATCGTAAATACTCCCGATAAATCACCCCAGGCAATCTTCAATAGCCTTGTGCGTTACCTAGTGATGAGTGTGGTGCTTGACAATCACGTATAGCGTAATCAGAACATAATTTGTATTGAATATATTACGAGGTCGATATTAGTATTATATTATATTATATATTATATAGGTATTGAAATTCTCCTCGAGGTGATTTAATAAACTTTTCTCCCATCTTGTCCGGTATATTATTGTCACCGGTCAGTGACAGAAGCAGTGAATGTTCACATTGATACGGTCTATCATAATTGGGATTTCGTACGGTTTCCAAACGGTCCTAATCTTAGTCACGAACCCTCCTTTTATACGGTACACATTACACATTGATATGCTATTTGATTTTATGTTTGCGGCTGCCTGTCTTTTTTTAAGATTCCAATATTATTTCTTACCCAGGTTTAATTGGATTCCTCTCCGTTGCAGTTATTGGTATCCTTTTGGGTTGTATCTTCATGACATTAATGGTGCGGAAGTACAGGTATGCCTCACAGCAAAGCACGTTACATTGATATTGCATTTAGCTTCTTTTTTGGGACTGAAAGAGAAGGTTGAGTTCTGGAAATTGGAAACAACAATTTGTGAGATTTGGCCGTTCTTTTGATGTCAGTTTGGAAGAATATCACAGGATGTATGTCACCTGAAAGGGATTGCCCTTCAATAACTCTTATTTTCGAAACAGTACGAGAAATTGCATAAAAGTCTTTGCCCGTATTCAATATACTTCAAAGATTTATTAGTAAAAACGACTTCGGAAAGCCCCTCATGGCTATATTATGCTGCGGTTAAAGTCCATGAAGGTAGATCTTGAAACGGCCGGCCAGTTCTTGTTATTTAGGCTACCGTTTACATCATCTCCTGCTAGCCTAAACTGAATCAAATTGCTAAATCTATCCTTTTTCAGACTCATAATAATGCACAAGATTTGTCTCATCGAATATTATGCCGATAACACATCATTCCCTGTTTCCACATTTGCATTCCAAGGACCATGAGATAATTTCGTTGCGACATTATGTTCAAAATTTAGAAGTATAGTCCTGAAGGCTATATTCAGGCTATGCCTGGATTAGCTAGCATAGCGCTATTTGCATTACATGCATGCAAACTGATAACCTGAGCTGCATTTTGTACGTTTTATTTTTTTATTCCACTTGATCGAAACCCGAAGCGACACTGCGTGGCACTCCCGAAATAGTCCCTATCCAAACAGCCTCAGAAGTATCCTTACATGTAGGGTAGAATTCTTACGTATCTGAGGTATCTCATTTGTACAAAAAAACGACAAGCTAGTTAAGCACTTTCTCTTAATTAGATAAAATCTGAAAATATCAACTACCTCCTAGGGGAAATTACTTAGCCCCCAATGCTTTTATAGAATACGCATTTTTGCTAAGACTTTTCTCTAAGCAAAGACATAAGAGAAGTAAAGAATTGTCATGAATAAGAAGTTTTGGGGTCGGTCGAAAAGGGCAATACAACGTTTTTTTAAAGCCTTATTTCAATTGCTGCCAGACAGTTTCTTCCACAATTTCAATGTCATTAACTTTATATTTTATCATATTAATATATAGGTAACTAGAGAAAATGCTAACTCTATTTTACTTTCATCTTCTTGTCTCTGTTAATTGCCTTGAGGAAATAATTTTTATTTTTAATGTCATGTTTAATTGGGTTCTCTACAACTACAGGAGATCAGCAAATCAGGCTAGTAGTCAGCAGCAAGAGACAGCGAAACAAAACAGTTACAACGGACCACAACATGGTGAGGAAGGTTGCTTGGAACTTAACGTTGTCCCTCCCAAGCTACCAGAGAGATCTTCACGAGATCAGGGTGAATTATACGAAACGCCACGACATGCTGACGATGGAGATGTTTATGAAGATATTAAGATCTAAGAAGAAGAAGAAGATTTTGTTTAATAGTAGTACTACTATTGTTCTTCTTTTCTCCCTTTACCTCTCCCCTTTCCATTTCTCTACTCTTATCACTCTTTCTACCTCTCTACCCGTCTGCCTTTTATGTTTTACCTCCTTTTTCTCTCTCTTTTAGTTATTTTTCTCTGTTCTGAAAATATATATACATTTTGAAGAACAACGTAATTCTTGACCATTTTAATCGTTCTTTATATTTTTCATTTGCTTTTTTAATTCACTTTTATGTGTAATTATTTGAACCTGCAAGATTTAACCTCAGTTCAATGCATCATATCTCTGATTTGATGCATTTCTTAATGTTCAATTTGAATTTATTAAATCAATATTTACTATTATTTTTATTAATTTTGTACGAAATTCTGCATTTCTGCAATTTTCTTAAAGAATAATTAAATACGGAGCATATGTGTGATTATTACGCTAGATTATTTTAATTTAATCTAAATGATGGTGTGCCTTTTTTTACTACTACGTTTGCCTATGCGTTCTCTAATGTATAATAAAATGTATATCTAGATTTATGTTTTAAAGGTTTTGCATAAGAGCTCAGTATAAACGCATTTAATATGACATATATTCAGGATTTTCTCTAGAAACGTCCTTTCGTTAAAGATGGTGAAAGATTATCTAAAAAATGCGGTACTTTAGACTTAGTTTTCAATTTTACTGTAGATACATCTTGTCGTTAAAGAATGAAATATAGGTAGTATACTCTATAATGAAACTTGTATATACAGCAGCTATATATACATGTACAAATGCTTTTTGAAATGGTGAGAAAAGATGGAACCTTCGTTAGATGTACACAATCAATGACATAACATAACAGTAATAGGTAAGGCATACTTTGTGTTCCTTCTATTTACCTCATACTGTTACCATCAAAATTACCATTTAAAAGTAATCATAAAGATGTTTGTTATGTGTAATCATGATGCCATGTAATGTCATAATTTTTCACTGGTATTTAACATTTCATCTAAAAGCTAATGCATTGAGTTTGACCGATACACACATATCTATCGATCTATAGGCTATAATAATAAGCGAGTTCGTAAATAGCTCTGGACCGCATGACCCCAAAATATCCACAGATCTTAGACACTGTGGATTTTAGAATAATCACCTGCCAAAGTGATGGGGGTGCTCTATGAATACCTTTTGTTTGCCTCTTGAGAAGAATACTTCCACCTGTGTATCAGATAAATGTACTGTTGGTGCATAAATAAATACTGACAACATAATTTTCATTAGCACGATCCGAGTATTCGTCTCAATGGTTTTACAATTTGGGTACGAATGACCTTTATCTGCCCATGCGCAAATCCTAATTACGAACTCGCTTATTATATATATATATATATGAACAATGTGGAAGGAAATGAGAGCATAACGGTTGCGTAGCTTCAATCAAAGTTCATATTGCTGTTTAAACTCCTGTCATACAGTTGACATTTTATTCAAACCCCTTGCAAATTTGACGGGTCCCTTCCCCCTTTTTTTCTTACATGTAACTGAAGAATGAAAGGTGGACTGGTTGAATGACAGTCTTTGTCGAATGCTTTCAGATGTGAGCTTTGATATGTCACATTCTCACGAAACACAAACCGCGACGAATCAATCTTTCACATACTTAACAAAATACAAAACTTTGTAAGGGTACGAATGCTAGAGTTGTTGACTGTATGGGTATATTCATATATTATATACTCTGACATATGTATTTCTTGATTTTAATATGCACAATCTACTCAGAGACTAATTGAATGCAAGCATAATTATACTCAAGATTATTTTAATTAACCGAAAAGGATTAACGCTTGTGCTTGTGCGTGGTATATTCTTATATAAAAGCATTCTAGATTTAGGCATTCAGGGTGCATAAGAGCACAGTATAAACATTTTGAATGGAGGTACGAATGATTTAGTTGTTGACTGTATAGGTATATTCATATATTATAAACTCTGACATATGAATTTCTTGAAAAGCCTGATTTTAATATGCACCATCTACTCAGAGACTTATTGAATTTAAGCATCTTTATATATATGATTAGTACTCAAGATTATTTTAAATAACCGAAATGGATTAACGGTTTTGTTTGTGCGTTCTATATTCTTAAAAATAAGCATTTTAGATTTAGGCATTTAGGGTGCATAAGAGCTCAGTATAATCATTTTGAATGGAGGTACGAATGCTTTAGTTGTTGACTGTATACGTATATTCATATACTCTGATGTATTTCTTGAAAAGTCTGATTTTAATATGCACAATCTACTCAGAGACTAATTAAATGTAAGCATATATATATATATATATATGTATATATGATTAGTACTCAAGATTATGTTAATTAACCGGAAAAGGATTAACGCTTATGCTTGTACGTGATATATTCTTAAATCAAAGCTTTCTAGATTTAGGCATTTACGGTGCATAAGAGGTCAGTATATTCGTTTTAAATGGAGGATCATCAATAGTGATCTGTCAGTTTATGACAGGTTCAGTGACCCATTCAAAATTCTATATCAAGTGTCTCTCCAAGTTTCTCTCCAAGTTCCTCGGAGGATATATACCAAGATTTCCATACGTCTGAGGGTGTAAGCACCATGCAACAACTTCTCATACGAGATTCAAGAGCTATTTTCAATATACCAATGAGTTCCGACTGGTCCTCATTTTCAGTAATAAGAAGATGGAAATATTGAAACATGACCTGGATCTGCACATTACAAATTTCCTCTTTTTCAGATAAAGTTCATTACATTTGTTAGGTACTCTGGACTTCAAAATGTTGTAACAAGAATAATAAATAGAAAGAAATAAAGAAAGCATTCTTCCACGGCTACATGTTTTTCTCTTTTCTATAAACTACTCTTCATGTATATTCATGGCAAGATAAAGAGCCGTGCATGCTTTAAAAAAAAAAAGTTTTCAACTGCTGGTGCAAGTTATGATAACCGTGTAAGTCAGAATGAAATCATTTCTGTTTTTGTATGAACTGCTTGGTTTTATGAGCTGTGATAAAAAAATAAAAAATAAAACAAGATTGCAGAGTATCAGCATATAATCATTCCAAGGTTATTACAGTTTAGGTAAAATCAAATGACATTGCTGCATGATATTCCCTTTGACCTATAATACAAATAATTAAAAAAAATCCACTTCTCTGCGCATATCAATTTATATTTACATCTAAAAGGTGCTCTCTATTAAAGTTCTAAATTATTTATTGATTCCTTTTGCGTCAAGAGAATTGACCAACCTTGAATATATTAGAAAAAGACTATTCGATATGAGAATATTTTTGCCTGGAGGATATTTCTTTAAAAAATAAATTTGTATTCGTTCTTTGGCGTGACGCACCCTCTAATAACGGAACTATGTTCCATTTCCATGCCCCCCCCCCAAAATGAATAGGTTAAATTCCAACAGCATTTGAAAGAAATTAACAATTTAGATCTTCCCTCAAAACGAAAGGGCTTGAAAATGGACTTAAGTGTCAAATCGACTTAAGTGATTGCAATCACCTAAGTAATAGTCTGATTTTTAGACCTTTTTTACCGAATGATCGTACGTTTTGTGCTGTAAAAAGATTCAATCAATTTACTTTTGGCCATTACACGTAGTGGGTTATCGATGTAGACATATGCTTATGTAACTGTACAGCTCATTTTATGTATGTTATTACCAAAAAAACAAAGATGTCAGTCTGTCAATCAATAGTGTCTGATAGTAAAGTCTAGAAGGTTAACGTGTTTCCTTGCATAATTTTAATACTAGGACACTGATTTAATATGTATAAATTTCACATATAGGACATACATGACATATTCATAATTCCTACAAAGTTCTACAGAATTTGATGTTGGCTGCAAAAGGGACACAGTACCTTTAAGGAAATGAATTGAAAGCAAGCTGGGCTAAATTATGGAGTTAACCGTTACAGAATGTAAAAAACCTCAAATGTTGAAAATGAGATATTTACCGCATGCCATGTTCAGCAAAAATATCTTGAATTGAAATTATATTGCGTGTAAAGAACTCCTCATCAAAAATCTTTCTTTTTTCAATAAGAAATTGTTATTGTTAAAATAGTATAAACCCAATACACACACACAACACGCGCGCACACACACTGCAAAAGGGGTTACCTGACCTGGCCCCGTCTTACAAAGAGTTACGATTGATCAAAATCAATCGCAGTTCCTCCAATCAATCGCAAGTTTGCAGTCTCCTACCTCTTACGTTTATATCGATTGATATCAACTCTTTGTAAGACGGGACTCTGGTATAAGGGGGTATCTCGAAAACATCAATAGAGGGCAGCTATCGTAACCTGCGGAAAATTGGAATATGGCGCTGAATATGGAAAGTTGTTACTTTTTAAAGCTGAATCTTTGGTTCATTTCTCGCCTCACTCACACCGCCAAAAGCTTCCAAATTGAGCTGACTGCCTGCTCAACAAAGAATACGTCCAGCGTGTATCAAAATCATAGGTGCAGTGTACAGTATACTTCGTACAGGGTGCGTGTCATGGATTGACATGAAATAACACCCTGCAGGTTAAATAATTATTTCACGCTCTTGAACAAAGACTAAACGCTTCGTAGCAAAAAAATGATCGTACTTGAAGGTACATCAACCGCAAGATTGATCCCAGTTTTCTTCATTTTGGCCTTAGAAATTGAAGGTATGTTGTGATATGCGCTAGTATTATTGTAGTATTATAATAATCAAGGAAGGTTCTGCATACTCTGTCATGTTTGTATTGCATTCATTACATCCAAATGTATGTGTAATTTGATTCTCGGATAAGAATGGTGTGTTCAGATTGCCCGTTTCTTGGCATTGGTACTCTGTCATAAGCCGTGGAAGTTGAGTGTGGAAAGCATGTTTATGTTAACACTTATCAACAATGTGTAAGTAGATGATGAAACTTGTTGTAATTGTTTCCCAGGCGTTTAGGAACCTGCTTTAACGGTGCTTAAGTGTTATTTAATTGGCAGTTTATCTTAAATATTGGGAATATTTTACCTTCGTCTAGGATAGGATTTGATTACAATTGATTGTGTTGCAAAACCTACACAAAACCTAGTGTAATGATATGGATATTCTCGTGTTTACGTTTTCCTCAAAAGTTCATTGACGTACATGTACAAGGCAAATTCCTGGTAGATTTCGCTAGAACTATTTTTACAAACATACATGGTGAATTCCTTGTATGCTATTTTTAACACCTGTTCCGATAC